TATTTCATACAGCAATATCTCCCTTTTTGAACCATGAGGTCTTTATTAATTAAACAGAGTAGTCAGCTGGACTGATTAATTCTCCATCCTTAGCTGAATTACCAAACACACAAGTTGGGGTGAGGGGGAATATTTCTAATACTAGAATGTTCTCCAAGCCAGTAAATCTAAGATTATCTCATCATACTGATTATGTCAAAGAGCATTAGCCACTGTGCTCACTAAGACATAAAATTGAATGGCAGACTCAAGACTGGCTCCACTCCAGCATTGCAGGCAGAATTCCAAGGTGATCTTGTACTAATCAAAAAGCCCTAATTATCAATAAAACTAGCTATGATCATTTTTTGAATGTCTACTCTTTGCCAGGCCCTTTACACACACCACCTGGGCTTCAGAAGTTCTGTCTCATGGGTTCTAAGTATTTTGTATTATTTTGTTTACAAAGATCCAATTATAGCTTCTGAGACACCAAAAACTGTTCCTTATTGCCTTGGTTTTATTTTTCTAATAAACAGTTACTGGAATTACACGTTTAATATTCAGAGATGTGTATGCAGGTAAGGTTTTTGTTGTGTTGTTGTTGTTGTTGGTGGTGGTGGTGTGTGTGTGTGTGTGTGTGTGGTGTGTGTGTGTGTGTGTGTTGGTGTTTGTGTGTGCTTGTTTCTTTACCAATAAAATCAAGCTATTATCTTAGGCTTTTATCTTTACAGAAAAGTATACCATGAATATAAGGTTAATCAAATGTTACAGTCTGACCTTTGAGTGAGGTCACATTTTGTCAATAAAAAGTTTTGATAATTCTTGGGAGTTTCCCTTGCACCAGGTTTCTACCTGACCCCAAAATAAGCCCCCATCAAGACATCTCTTTCGTTACTCTCACCCTCTATCCCTCCCCCAACCCAATCCCTCATGTTCCCATCCCCACCCAAACCCAGTTTACTCAGGAGATCTCTTCTATTTCCCCTTTCCAAGGAAATCCATGAGTCTGTCTTTGGACCCTCCTTGTTATCTAGACTCTCTGAGGCTGTGGGCTGAGGCATAGTTCTCCTTTACTGTATAGCTAATATCCACTTATGAGTGAGTACATACCATGTTTGTCTTTCTGGGTCTCGGTGACCCACTCAGGTTGATTTTTTTCTTGTTCCATCTACAAGGATGACCCAAGCAATAATGGATAGGTAACCCGAACTAGCCATCTCCTATAATCAGATTGGTGACTTCTCTAATTGTCATCAGACCGAATTCATTCAGTAACTGATGGGAGCATATGCAGAGATTCGAAGTCAAGCACTGGGCCAAGCTCTGGGAATCCTGTTGAAGAAGGGGAGGAAGGGTTGTACAAGCCAGGGGGTCAAGGCCATCCCAAGAGAACCCACAGAGACAACTAGCCTGGGTTCATAGGAGCTCACAGACTCTAGAGCTAAGAGAACAACCTATCCCTCTACATATGTGTGACAGTTGTATAGCTTGGTCTACTTGTGGGACTCATAGCAGTGGTAACAGGGCCTGTCTCTGATGCTTTGGCAGGCTTCTGGGAACCTATTCCTCATACTGGGTTGCCTTGCCAAGGCTTAATATAATGGGAGGAGCTTAGTCCTACCTCAACTTGATATGCCATGCTTTGTTGATACCCATGGGAGGCCTGCCTCTTTCTGAACAGAAACAGGAAGAATGGATTCATGGATTGGAGAGGGGAGTGTGGGAGGGGAGCACAGAGGGAAGGTGGAGGAAGGGGAAACTGCAGTTGGGATGTAAAGTAAATGAATAGATTTAATTTTTAAAAGGTGTCTTGATGGAGGTTATTAACAAGAACGGATTTTAGGCAGAACTTTCTAACAGCAATTGTAGAGAGTCAGTATCTATAGTTTTTCTTAGGCATCTAGCCTTTAACTGCCTGATTTACCAATGTCTATATGGTTACATAGTTAATATTTCAAGAATGAGACTATCACTTGTTAAATAGTTAAATAGCAAAGCACTTACCTGAATGTATCCTGTAGATACTTGTTTTGGGTTTTATTGCCTCCTACTCTCCCCATTCGGGTAACGTTATAAGGGAATGAGTGTTTAAAATAACTTAAAGGACACTCTCTGAGCGGCACCAATACATTGAAACTGTGCTGGTAAGCATCAAATGCTCTGGATTCTGAGACTGTCAGACCCACAAAGCAATATTATCCAGCACATTCCTTTTGAACGCAAACTCTGTGCAGGATGGTGCCTGTCCCTCTCACCTTGCCGTGGCGTCCCAGCCCTCTTGGTTACTCTCCTTAGTATTTCTTTAACAGTCCTCCCAGTTGAGGCCACAAAGGGTCCTTGAAAGGAGCTGAGTCCAGGCTGAGTTGATGCCCCAGTAAGTTTAACCTTCATAAGAAATCCCTGTAAACATTTTTAAAACAGTGTTCATAGGAATTACTGCTGAGAGTTCCTGAATAACGGTTCCTTTTTAATGTCTTGTTTATTGTTTGATAATTTCAGACATGTGGACAGTGTGCTTTGGTCTAATCCATTCCCCATTCCCTACTTTCCCTTTCCTCCTGTACCACCCCCATGACTTTTCCCTCACAACCTCACATGCTCTCTTTTTCTTTTTTTAAGCTCACTGAGTCTACTTAGTACTATCTGTATATACATGCATGCATGTAGAACATGTAGGACAATCCCCTAGAGGATGAGTAGCCCCTCAGGGGCCAAATCCCTGATGAAAACTGACTCTGCCCTTTCCTACAGCCGTCGGGTGCCAAAAGCTCCTGTCTAGGCAGGGGTTTCGGCTGGCTTGATCTTGTACAGATCCAATGCATGCTGTCGCAGCTGCTGGGAGTTCATATGTGCAGCGTCTCTGCCATGTCCAGCAAGTACTTTTCCACTGCAGACAATCACTGCCTGTGACTCTTTCTAGCGTCTCTTTCTCAATGATCCCTGAACCTTTGGGGGGTTGGGGGAAATGATGTCTCAGTTAGAGCTGAACACCCCACAGTCTCTTCTTGTCTGCATGTTAAGCAGTTGTGGATTTCTGTATTAGTCACATGATGAGGGTTGAGAGATGTGCTCATCTATATGGAATGAAGGTAAGAACTTAGCCAAGCAGTGGTGTTGCATGACAGGCGTTGGTGGTGCACACCTTTAATCCCAGCACTTGGGAGGCAGAGGCAGGCGGATCTCTGTGAGTTTGAGACCAGCCTGGTCTACAGAGAAACCCTGCCTCAAAAAAACTAAAAATAATTTTAAAAAAATAGGAAAAACTAATAAAAAAAAGAATTTAGGGGGCAGTTTTTATTACTATGTCCATTTAGCAGAATAATAGGTAAAGGTTCTTCTCTACAGCCTATGGCCCAGACAGCCATGGGGTTTTAGCCCCATAGACAGTACCAGGCATGAGTTCCATCTTACGGAACAAGCTTTGAATCCATTCAGAAAATATTGGTTACTCCTGTAATATTGGTGTCACCAATGGGTGTATCTTGCCAGACCTGTCACTGAAGTTCACAGGGTTCGTGGCTGGGTAAGACTATTCATGACACTTCTCCCTGGTAACATGCATAGAACGCGTTCAGCACTGTGAAAGCTATCCAGTAGGGAAGAACCTTCCGGGTCCATATCAGCTTAAATTCCTCCATGTCCCATGACTCAAATATATAGTGTCTTCAGCAATAGGATCTTACTGTCTGGAAGGAAAATAAGAGCAATGGCTACAGTCTGTTATGTTTGGGGCTTGGGGAATCTATGGAACCCCATAACTCAAAAGTAAGTAAGCCATAAGTGACACTGAGCTTTTTATTTGATAGTCTATTATATGTGGGATTGGCATGTACCATTAATCAGCTTTTATATCTGGATGTATTCTAGGAAGCTTCCACAATAGTAGGTGTCTATATAGGCTTTTCATTGATCTTAAGTGTTATCTGTCCCCCTCCACCAAGTACACTCAAACTCTGGAAACTTTGAAGATACATAACCCGGGCCTTGTCCACAGTTACTCTTGAACTACTTGAAGTTCTTTACCCCATTGTGAAACTATTAGCAATCTATTCCTATAGAAAGATACATTTATAAAATGTCCTTCCAACCCCACCCTCACTCCAACAGGCTAGGCAAATGGTAATGGACATAGAAGAATCATACAGCTGGAAGCTGAGTTGGGAACCTGAAACACACATTCACCAGGTGGGGGTGTGGTTTATGGTGTTCTGCCACTCCCTAAACTGTCCCGTACCCTCGTGCCTCTTCCCCACCTCTGCTTCTGTTCCTTCTTCCCACAGTGCTCTTCAGGACCCTAGTCATTTGTTCTGAGAATGCATCAGGCACCACAAATGGAGAGGGGAAAAAAAAAAAAAAAAACAGTTCCTAGTTCCTGCTGTCAGGGAGCTTCCTAAGCTGCAAGCAGGCTGACAATAGACATGCATTTATAATATAGGAAAATTAGAGAGGCGACAATGGGTTCAGATGGGAGGAATCTTAAGGAGAATTTGTTTCTTTGAAGTTAGTGTGTACTAACTCCCCAGGGAGGAGAAATGTGGCCCAGAATCATATCGTATGTAGAATGTGTATGACCCAGAGTCGGTTAGAACCGAGAGTTTCCCAGGTAAATGACAGTGTATGCTTTTTCATTTAGGGAGGTCTCTGGGTTGGAGTGGAGAGTGAGTTAGGAAGGAAATGGAACTGAGACAGAGAAGCTATTTCAGCGTACCAGACCATTACATTGGAAAAGGAAACAGACTTCAGAGATGATGCTCACAGCTAGACAGCCGTAGGACATGCTCACAGACAACATCGGGAGAGGAAAAGGCAGTTCAAGGTGATACATTCATCTGCATTCATGGTTACTGAAGACCCCTAAAACATCTCCAAGACTTACTAACACCACTGGATCCGGTTCTAACTGCTTCCTGTCCCGAGGGCTGGCAACCGGGTAGAAGCAGTGTTCCCAGGATTGGTACTTGTTTGGCTGGTAGAAAGAGTCTTTCCCATTCTAATCAGCACCCTTCATTCTTCTCAAGTCATGTAACACAGACCACATCCTGGATCCATCCTGTGATGAGTGTCCTGAACCTGTCCTGCTCAGAGGAGAATGAAGAGGACTGTCCCAGAGAGCTGACAGACCAGAAAAGCTGATGGAAATGGCACTTCAGAGTCTTCCGGCTTTGCCGTCCAGGTGCACAACCATACACAAGACGCCACAGCTTTAGAAACAGGAATCCAGCACATTCTGCCAGGCGAGATGTCAACCTGGAACTGTGGTATTTCTATGCGCATGTTAAAGACCAGCTGCCCACTGTACTAGTTCTTTGAAAATAATTTAGGTGCATTTGTTGAAGTCATATATAATTAGATTTTGTCTGTGTCTAATTTTTCCTATATAATTAGGTCTATGTAACTTAGTATGTAGTTCATTGTTTGGTATTAGATGCAATGGTTTTTATACCAAAATTTTGTATTGGAAAGCTATATGAACATAGGAAACTACTTCTTTTCTGATAATCCCCTCTCTCTAATCACAGTTTAGGAAAGTGATCTGAGAAAGTTTGGGAAGGGTGCTATATGGCTACCCCATTGGCTGCTGAATACAACCTTTGTTTTTTGTTTGTATCTATAACTCATAAGACCCAATCTAACTTGCATTGTTAGGAGACTTCTATCATGTATAATATGCTTTCAACCCTCATCTTATTTAAACCAGACAGCATGGGGATAGGGCTGATCTGTTGGCCATTTCCACTCATGACTTCAGCTGGACGAACAGTGCTTCAGAGAGACAGAGCATCCTGGCCCAGGGCTAAGACTCACACCTCATCTTCTGATTCCATGTCCAGTCAGTCCCCTTTGCCCTGCTCCTGACTGGCCTCACAGAGAGAGGTTGTAGTCCAGCAGAGCACCTTCCTTGTTGATGCAGCTGGGTCCACAGCTGTGCATTCCACGCAATCCAGAGGACACCTCCGAGTCAATCATGGCCTCTTCTTAACCCCACTCTCTCCTTCTGTGGGCCCACCCCCTCATCACCCTTGGATACCCACCAACTGTTCTGTATCTTGTCAGCAGGCTTTGTCCCATGGCTCATGTTTTCTAAAATAAAGATCATGCCAGTGGTTTGCCATGCTTGGGTACCCTTGCCAGTAGGAGCATCTAAGGAGAGCTGATAGCAATAAAGGTATCTCTTAAAATCCTGCCAGGCTGCTTGTAACAGAACGAAGGCCTGGAGCCAAGTGAAGCAGCCCAGCATTGCTTAGGCAAGCCTAGCTCTCCCGAGAACACAGAGTGAGAACCCTGACGTAAAGAAAGGCACATTATACATGAGTCACTGAGTTCCTACAGTCGATTAGCACCTAAGTCAGCATCGGTTCCTAGCTCCTAAGTTTTCTACTGAGTTTCACCTGGTATATGGCATGGATATGGAGAATACACATGGGCATCATACTCACTTATACCTCTCTACGTACATGAAAGACTGGGGATTTGAGTTGAACACACTTAGGATTCCTACTTTAGGTCTTGAGGACAAACATAAAGCCAGTCAAATGCAGACTGACAAGGAGTCATTAACCCTGAGAAAGACAAAGTGGCTGGAGCAAATGTACCCCTCTTGTCACCCGCTGTCTGGATACTAACTAGGAAGCTTCAGAGGGGACAGTTTTGAGATCAGCCCCAGAGGGAGCTGTCTCCTCAAGTCTCCAAGAGGTGAACACACACTCTTTTATAAGAGAGTACCTATGTTGTGAAAGGTGGATTCTTTTTAGGAGATCCCCAAGCCCACTGGAGAGCTTCCTCCCTTGTTTGTAAGGGGAGCTAAGATGGGATCCTGAAAGATGCAGTCTCTAATCCATGTGTTCATGTGTGTGTGTGTGGCACTCCACACCTCTCTGCTGCATGTACCAATCCCTCCCTGTTTCTGTCAAATATATAATCAAAGGACTAAAACTCAGTGCTCTTCACTGAGCATTCTATACCACACATAGCAATGTGTTCATGTGTACTATGAACATGTATTAGCTTATTATCTTCTTTTGGAAGGTTATTTTGAGGTAGCTTCTCCCTGTGAAACCCCTCTGCCTCAGCATCCCAAGCACTGGGATTTCAGCACCAAATATCTTCTTAAAGCCACCCATAAGTGGAGAAGCATAGGGATCCATCCCCATTTTGTGTAGAAGCCTAGGTTCAGAAAGAAGTGGTCGTGGCCCAAAGATCCCACCATGCCTATGTGTTGACGCTGGACCTCCAGGCAAGCCTTTGGTTCCTGTAAACCATTCGGAAGAGTTGCTTGCATTCAATCAGCTCTACAAGGCTCCAGCACTCAGTCAGAGAGACTTCCTGGTTCACAGAAAAGAATTCCCGGGAGAAAGAAGCATTCCAACAGGTTCTGGTGCATCTGAGCTTCTCCTGGGCTCTGAATTAGCTGAGTCAGGTGAACACCCACTGAGACACAGCAGATAAGCGGGATGCTTGGAGAATCTCAAGAGGGCTCAGTAGGAATGCTTTTCTGATGCAGATAGAACCCTGAATTTCCTATGGGGAAGTTGATAGTTTTCAACTTAAATTAGCCCTATTGCCGTGGTCACCCATCAGAAATGCTTCTTCACTGATACACCCACTCACATTCTGGGCTATAGGAGCAAAATATGATTACATCCCTCCCAGTGCGTGTTTTAGTGTGGCATTGGCCATCAGTTGTGGAACAAGCCTCATTTTCCTAGTGTGACAAGGGAAGGCCTAGCCATCCTCACTCATTTGTTCCCTCAAAATGCTCATGTGCCTCTAGCAATGTGACCAGCACTCTGGGTACCAGGGCAAAGTAGGGCAACAGCTGACCGTCTCTTGGGTTGGTTTAAAAATAAAATTATTTTGAAAGTCAGAATTATAGTTATATTTTAGCTTATAAATTTTAAAAAATAATTTATTTTCCTTTCAGAAAAATGAAAGTACTGTGGAAATAAATTGGGTTGAGTAAATAGCCTGTCTCACTTTCTGGAAGCTGCCATCACCAATATTTCAATGAATATTTTCACTCAAAGGCAAGTATGTCCACCTCAAAAGTTCACCTTTGAGTTAGTACATTGTGGCCCATCTTTGTATAGCACTATAGGCATTTCCATTGTATTTCAAACATCTGCATAAGCTACCACCTCTAAGAATGCTCATTGTCTGTGTGTTCAACAACTTATTAATGAAAGCTTAGGCTACTTGAAGTTCCTTCCTACAAGTGTCATACTGAGCATTTGTGTATTCGTTAAAACCCTTTCTTCAAGTGTCCCTGCACTAAAATGCTGCTGTCTGTAGTGTGGAGACTTTTATAAGTGAGCCACTGTGACTGAGTACAGTCAACGTGTTGTCCCCAAAAGAAGAGCCTGTCCATCCCTATCCAAAAATGTGGTGTTTTAATCATTAGGTTGTAGCATTTCTTTAGCATCCAAGACTGACTTGCTCTGTACAGGAGAGTCCAGCAGTGAATAAGTCGGTGTTTCAAATATATCACTGCTCTCATTGTTTTCCACTTTACATAGAATGATGATGGGGAGTCGCTTCTAAATTAGCAGAGAGAACACACTCTTATGCATACAGTACAAGAGCCTTTACTTCTCCATCTGTGGAACAGTAGCAATACTTCCTCATGCTCCCACAGTCCCAGCTTGCATCACCTAAGTATCTACTGGATGCCTGGCCAACCAAGGTGTTAGGAGCATTCTGGGTAGCACAGTTTCCCAAAGCAAAGCGGTCAATGCCCTGATAGTTCTACACACACACACACACACACACACACTACTGATTTGTTTTTCTGTATAGGGTAAGAAGTTAGGAATTTGTTTCCTTAAGAAACCCTTAAATTTGAATAATTATGGAAATTGCTGACCCCCCCACCACCACCACTACCTTGGCTAGAAAAGGGTAAGAAGGAACGTGCTGGAAGAGGTTCTCCAATAACAAATGAAAGGCAGCTGTCAAAATAGAGAGTCAAATAGCACATTCATAAAGTGCTTGCACAATCAGAAAATATTAGCCTTTTTCTAGGGAGAAATGGGACATTTCTCTATGGTAAGCAAAATGTAACTTTTGAAGGGTCAACACACTTGACATTTTTATGATACTTATGCAGAAAGACCTGAACAAACATTAATACAGCTTTCACAGTCTTGTGTATAATTTTCAAGATGATGAAAAGCACAGAATATGCCTGTGGAATTTAAAGAATTAAACAGAATATGTCTGTGGAACATAACTTTAGGAATGTTCTATCCAAGATGTTTTAGCCATAGCTGTTCACATATAATATCACTGTATCAGTAAAACGATTTTATAAATACTAAATGTAGTCCTCTTCCCTCCTGCTCTCACCCCATGGTGGGGGGGGTGGATTTGTGTGTGGGATGTGTGTGTGTGTGTGTGTGTGTGTGTGTGTGTGTGTGTGTGTTGGCTTCCTTGATCACACTCCCCCTTAATCTTTGAAACATTCATCTCCCACTGAAGCTGAGACTTGTAGATTTGGCTAGGTAGGAAGGGTGCTTACTGCACAAGAACAATGGTCTGAGTTCAGTGCAGCCACAATCCTGGAAATAGAAAACCAGGTGTGAGTGCCTACATGCTAAGCAAGGATTCCCCTGGTTTGCCGGCCAGTCTAGCTGAAACCGAAAGGTCCAGATTCAGCAAAAGACCCTGTCTCAAGGAAGTAAGGCAGAAAGTGATGGAACAGGACACCTTATATTCTCCTCTGGGCTCTGTACCAGCACATGGGTGTGCTTGTACTTCAAAGAATATATACAATAAGCATCGAGGAATTAGATGAAGGAATGAGGCAGGAGGAACTTTCCAGATACAGCAGAATATTTGAGTTTTGTAGATGAAAAAAGAGATTGGAGAGAAAAATCAAGATTTCATTAAGTAAAGGGTGCCAGGGATATAATGAAGAGGACCAAGGGGGCAAGAGAATCAAATGTGTGCTTTAGAAAGGTAATTCTGAGAGGTGTGAGGGGTAGGTTCATGTGGACAGGTATGGTGTAGAAGAAAGGCACAAAATGAGAAAGATCTGGAAACAAACAGACAGGAATGCTTCCATTCTTGGAAGGGACTGTGGATGGGATGGAAGAAGTTGCCCGGATCTTCATGTGCCCAGATACACCATGCCACTGTTCCCAAGAAAACAGTGAGACACAGCTTTTCCTCTGCCCTTTAAGAGACATCAGTGGGGTACCTTGAAAGTTTGCCTGGTGGATAAGGTCCAGGTGTCCCTCTCTGAGTCCCACTAATGACTGTTTTTCCTCCCAGCCCGTGAGGTGAACTATTTCCTAGCTACAAACAGGAACGCCTGTCTTGATTAGACAGTGCCCTCAGGTCTGCTTTAGAAAGCATGTCATTTCCATCTTCCCACTTAGTTATGGTGCTGGCACTCTTTTCTTACATCGCATCTTCTCTCGAGGCAACGAATGTTAAAAGGAGTAGTCATTTAAATATGTGATAAAGGAGGGAAATAAGTGGAAAAGGCTTTGGTTAATTTCAGTTGTCTATGTCTTGCCTAAAATGCAAATCACTCGAGGGCTACAGTCGCACGAGTCTTGCATTGCACCCCTAATGCTTAACCAAGTGTGTGGCACTTGGTGTTTCACCGAACAAATGAACACAATGGGGTGGGAGCTAAACTGGAAACTGTCTTCGTTATGGGTGGTACATTATACTGAGCAACTACGTGTTGAACATCTACTGTGTAGCAGGCACCGTGCTGCATTCTGAAGGCGAATAAGATAGGTCCCCCATGGAGCTTGGTCCATTATTACTCCCATTTCCAAGGGAGACAACAAAACAACATTATGACAAAGCAATGAATACCATAAGATGAAGAAATGGGGTGGGGGAGGGGCCAGAGAGCAATTTGGCGATGAGGGACTAGGAACAAGGGAGGTATTTTATTCATAAAGATTTATGTTTTTATTTTTAATTATGGCTTTGTCATGTGAGTGCAGATACCCACAGAGGCAAGAGGTATCCAATCTCTCTGGAGCTGGAGTTATAGGTAGTTGTGAGCTGCCCCAAGTGGAGCTGGGAACCTAACTCTGGTCCAATTATGTGCAGCTATATGCTCTTAACTGCTGAAACCACATCTCTTTCTCCAGGGGTGGTTTTGACACAGCTACTGATCTGATTGCCCAACCTGCCCTGGAAGAATAAAAATCAAACTTAAAATTAGTAAAAGTAATATGAGGTTGATGGTAAAAGGTCAGGTAAAGGGCTGTGGAGATGACACATTCAGTCAAGAGGAAGCAACTTTAACCTCCTGGAATCCATGTGGAAAAGACACTGTATGCTTGTAATCCCAGTGCTGGAGATGCAGGGGTGGGGGCTATCTCTGAGTTCAAGGCCAACTGAGTCTACAGGGTGGCAAGTTCCAGGAATGCCAAGGCTATACAAAGAAACCCGCATCTTTAAAAACAAAAAAAACAATAAAAAGTGTATCTCACTGAATTTGCAATTCATTTTGTCAATGCAAAACATGTGTCTCATCTTCTGCACCCTGGATCTTTAAGTCAGAGTCCATATATTGTTGTTTTTTAACCTCACACTAGATAAAACTCAATAGATATTTACAGAAGGAAGTAAAAGTGTGAGTTATACCTTTCAAAACCTCTTAGAACTGTTTTCTGCTCTGGCAGGAAAAGACAAATTGAATAAAAGAGAAAATGAACTAATCATGTCTGTACTAACTAGTCCCACAAATGGTGGGAATATAATGGATTTCGATGAAGAAGGAAGTGTGTGGCCATAAAACGCACAGCTTGATTATGGTGACAGGTTTTAAAGTGCATACTCAGACGGTGTTGATGTGCCCAAGGATTCAAAAAGTCACAGCAGAATGACTTTGGTGTGCAAGGGAAGATGATAAACCCTAAGACCAAAAGACAAGGTTGTTGTGTTTCAAGGCAACTTCTGTTCTTGTGAATTAATTAGTCATGGTCCTGAAGAATTGGTTTGGCACATGGGAGCTGTGTATTGCCATAGTTACCTGAAAGTACAGAAATCATCCCATACATAACTAGCCCCGCTGGATTTCCTGACCAGTCTAGTTCACAGTGGGGAAGTTCACCTTTCTCAGCATTTTTTCTTCAAGAAGGAAAAAAATATAAATTGAACGGATAATAATGTTTCCTTGGAATCTGGGCAGTCCAGGCCTAGACTTTCTGTAAGATAGCAAACCAAAGGACATTTATGGCCAGATCTATTGGTTTATAGTGAGCAGCCTTGTCTTCCCAAGAGAGATCCCATGCATTTCATTTGGCATCAGCTTAGGCATTCCCAGGGGTAGGCAATGGTAGTTCCTGTGGTGTAAGCCTGTCCTTTTCTGACCTTCATTCATGCACTGTGGAACACAGACTCCAGCTGCAGGGATCCGATGACATCTTCTCACCTCTTCAGGCATCTGCACTAATGTACATAACACACACACACACACACACACACACACACACACACACACTAAAATTAAAAACAACCCTAAAATAATAAAATACATCTTTAAAGAGAACTACTGATGCTAAGACACACAACATCTGCAACTTGCATGTCAACGTCTAATTCTAACATAGTTACATACTGGGATTATATAAGTGTGGGGTGTGGATGTGACCTCCACCAATGAACCACTAGGCTAGTCAAGTGATAAGTCAAATGAAATGAGGAAAATTTTGAAATCACCAAGAAGCAATTTCAAAGAATAGGGAGAGATTATCCACCATGCTGAATTATATAGGTGTACAGATACCACACCAGTGTGGAAGAGTGTGATTTCTGAGCTCTAAGGACAGCTGCTCATAGCAGAAATGCTGAAACTTAGCAGGGAGTAGAAATCTTATAGCAAGATTTCTGGAAACTCTCGTCTATGTATAATAAAGCAGCAATCTGGGGATCTCTTGAGATTGACTTTCAAATATCTGAAGTTGACAGAAGCCATCCCAGAGAACTTGGAAGTCATAATTTTACATGTACCAAAACCCAAGCAGGAAATAGAATCCATCACAGATGGTCTGAACGAAGATACAACTCATAGGTAGGTTGGTGGTGGTTCAGAGAACAAACAAGTGATGGTGAAGAACTCTCCTCAGCTACTAACCATAATAGAGGTAGAAGCCATTTCCGCTTTGAGGATTGAAGGATATGGATACACACATCTCTGGGAGACAATGAAAACTGAGCTGTGGAGAAGTCTTCCTGCCATACTTACAGCATCAATGCAAGGGGCACACAGATAGGGGGCAGCTTTGAGTTTATACCCTTTCTTTTCCTTCCTGTCCTGTCTTCTTTGGATGTTTCCCAGAAACACATAGCAGGAATTCCCAGGGAAGCTGGTCCCCAGGGCTCTGCCTCATTCCAGGACGTGGAGATGATCACAGACGAAACTGAAGGTGCAGATGGGTAGCAGCCAGGACAAGGAATAATCCAGTGATTTCTGATTTGCAAGCCGGAAGACATTAACTGAGAACCTAAGTATAAATGAGCCAAGCATCTATTTCGTCATCGATGCGTAATTACTGCACATCTTTTAGGGACACCGGTGCTGCTTGTGGATAAGATGTGCATAGTTCTCATCTTTTGAGAGTTCATGGCCCGGAACTCATTTGTGAGCTTTATCCAGCCAGATGGAAGAGTGCACAGCTACAGGATGCTTTGGAGTAACGGCAGAAAAGTGAGAGAGTGTGATACTGTGTGGGTTAGGATAACCAGAACATAGCTTTCAGGTGGATGGTGGGATACAGACATTGAGCATGGTTTGAAATAATCTTAGAGAAGGTTCCAGAGGTCATACCTCAGATGGTCTTGAAACTCTGGAGAAGCTTGGGTACTGTCCTGAAAATACGGGTAAAGCAGGGAAAGACTTCCAGCTGGGTGCCATGGTTGGTTTTATGTGTCACTTTTCCTGCATTGAGATATATTCACAGAACAGGGGAAACATATTTCTGGATATGTCTGTGAAGGTGGTTCTACAATGTTAGCATTCAGATCAGTAGACTAAATTAAGGGTGTTCACCTTCACCAGTGCAGTGAACATCATTGTATATGCTGAGTACCCAAGTCCAGTAACAACAGGGAGAGAAGGGAGATTATTTTGCCTGTTCTTGAGCTGGCACTCTTATCATCTGTTCTTAGACATCAGGGGTCCAGTTCATGAGACCTCAGCCTCAGGTGAAGCCCCGCATCAAGGCCATCCCACACCAAAGTTCACAGGTTCTGGCCCCAGCCTCGGAGTCTCACCATTGGCTTCCTGATTCTCAGGACTACAGACATCCACTGAATTACACTCTGGCTTTCCTGGATCTCTGGTTTAT